ACACTCGCCGCACCGGTACGGCTTCTCCCCCGTGTGGATCCGCCGGTGGATGGTCAGGTGCGAGCTGACCGAGAAGCTCTTCCCGCAGTCGGCGCACTGGTAGAATCTCTCTGCTGCCGGGACCCGCGGCTGGGGCGGCTGCGGCGGCAGCTGGGCAGGACGCACACTTTGGCTGAAACTGCCCCCACACTGGGTGCACACGGTCTGGCTCCCCCCAGGCTGGGGGAGATGCAGAGCCTGGACCCGCTGCAGGGCAGCGCTGCCCTCTTTGAGTTTCTTCAGGCCCTCGCTGTCGGCAGCTGTTTTGCTCCATGGCTTTCCCGCTGGCCTGGCTTGGCTCTGGCAGGTGGCTGCGTGGCCTGGGGCCTGGTAAACGTTCCCTTCGGATCTCATCCCTGGTAACGTCCCGTGGGACTGTGCTGTCTCTGGGCCTCCCTGCTGCAGGGCTGCGTTAATAATTCCACTATCTGCGAGGATAAAGAGAGAATCCAAACATGATTTTCCGGACTGTTATCTCATCAGCACCTCTCCCTTCTGCTTCCTTGTTCCCCAGAATCTTAACCATAATTAAAAAAAAAAATCTCTAGCTGCTATGGTTGCAAAGAAAACCAGGAAAATGCAAATTGAGGGCATAACCGACGCTGCCTGAGTCTGCTGAGAGCCTGAGCCTGTTGCTCTGTGAAGTGTGAATTCTCTGAACAATGGTTCTGAGAAGTGCGGGCAGAGTTTATTTTACATGTGGGGCTTGGAAGGGTAGCACCAGCTTCCCCCCATCCCACCCAATTTGCTGCCAGAGCTGGGAAGGAAAGAAGAACAACTGAGGGGCGTGGAAATGAACTCATTAGTATGCCGAAAAATAAACCCAGCTGCCTTAATAACCCGTCCTGAGTTGTTCTTCCATCTCGTACATGGACAGGCAGTGATGAGGGGAGGGAGCTACCGCCCAATGTGGGGTGGGATGGGTGGAAAGCCATGAGTGACGCATCCGCCACTCCTGATTCTATGCCCCTAGGGTTCTGGGTTTGTACAGCGCCTAGCACAATGGGGTCCTGGGGCATTACCGAAGCGCCTAGGCATATACACCTAATACATAATTTATGGCGCCTAGCACAATGGGGTCCTGAACCATGACCAGGGCTCCCAGTGTTACCGTAATACACCCAGTAAATAACAATGATAATTGTAATCCTCTCCTATATGCAGTACAATTGAGAGAATTCACGAGTAGAGCTGGGCAAATAATGGCTTTTTCAATTCACTGGCAATTCGGAAAAATAAAACAAAAATCAATTTCAGGTACAACTGAAAATAATTTTTTTCAAAATTTTCAGGTATTCAAAAAGTCAAATATATACACATCTATATATTGATTTGGGTGGAAGGGAATGTTTCATTTTGAGAAAATCAGAACGTGTTGTTTTTATTTTGACCCTTTTAAACCATTTTCTCGGTGGGGGGGGGAAGGTAAGTTATTATATATAAAAATAAAGGAAATTTTGAAACCAACAGTCATTTCACACTAAAAAATTGAAATGCTTCGTCCAATACTCTGACTTTGGGGGGAATTTAATTTAATTTAATTTAATTTTTTCGGGGCAGCTGAAAGAATGTGGCAGAACTGACATGATTTGACCAAGGTCACCCAGCCAGAGAGATGGCAATATGTCTGCCGAGTTCCAGCCCAGTGGTCTATCCACTAGGCCATGCTGCCTAGCATTTTCTTTCTCCTGCCCCGTGAGTCTTGGCTACTTAGGCTGTGAGCTCTTGGAGGCAGAGAGTGTCTCTCAATATGTTGACGACCTCTTGAGGGTCCGTTCAGCCCTGGCCTGGTCCTGGCACCATGGGGTGCTGCGGAGTCTCTGAGTGCTAGGGTAACAATGCTATAATTTAGTTCTGACAAAGCTGAAGAGATTGGATAGCGGACAAGTGTGTAAGTCTGCGTGGAGGAGAAGAGACGGGGTGGGAAGCATTATGGGCTAGTAACTAAAGCAGTGGACTGGGGTTCAGGACCCAGCTTTGCCACCGGCCTGAGGGGTGAGCTTGGTAAATCACTTCATCTCTCCGTACCTCAGTGTTCCCATCTATAGCACGGGGATAAGGATACAGCTCTCCTGAGGGAAAGCGCAATACGACAGACAGATATTATGAGCAACGCCACAGCAAAATTCTTCAGACAAACCCCTTTTTTCAGCAAAAAACACAGGCCCAGGTCGCCTGAACGCCGTGTGAATTGGAGTCGAGTTTGGCAAATTGTTTCAGTTGCTCAAGGAAAAAGGGGGAACAAATCCAAACGTTTGGATCGTTTGGATCAAAATGACTTTTCATTTCCAAATTTCCTTTGCTTTTATTGAATAGTAATTTTAAAAACAGTAAAAAATGCCTGAAATCTAAAGGAAACGTCTCGGTTTACATCAAACACAACGTTTTGTCTGACCCAAAATTTTTGTTGCAGGACGACCCCTAAGGGGTTTTCCAGATCTGCCTCCTAATCAAAAACAACAGTTATTAGCTCAGCTCTAGCCATGGCATTTCTGACCCTTCTTTCTCATCGCAGGTGTGGAGGCGATTGTCTCCTTCCCTCTCGCTTGGATTCAGGGGATGGGGGAACTGACACCCCAAATCTAAGGGGGAGAACCCAGAGTTAGAGCCAATTCGGGCACATCAGAGCCTGCCCAGCCCCGAATGTCAAGGGGGATCCTTACCCCGAGAGAGGAGCGTCCCGTAGTTCTCCGGAACCATGTCCCTGTAGACGGGCCTCGGAGCGGGGTCCAGCAGAGCCCACTGGATCTCAGCAAAATACATTGGACCCGCCTCTAATGTCCCAGCGCCCTGGAACGAGAAGGGTCTGAGCTCAGGGCCACCCAGCATCCAGCCCCATGCTTCCCAGCTCAGCCCTGCCCCTAACTCCAGCCCCACATCCCTACAGCTCTGCCCCACTCACCCCAGCCCCAAATCCTCCCCAGCTCAGCCCTGCTCCCTCTATGTGTTGTGTCTCTACAGCGCCTAGCACTCTGGGGTCCTGGGCCATCACTGGGGTGCCTAGTGCTACCGTAATACCCCTAGTAAACAATGTACAGCACCCAGCACAATGGGGTCTTGGCCTGTGCCGGGGTCTCCGATCGCAAACAAGAAGGCGGAGCTCTCATCTTACCTAGCGCTTTGCTTTACAGAGGGCGGCGAGCGCCTTAGCCCGCTTGCACAGAAGGGGAAACTGAGGCACGGAGAGAGCGGGGACCCGCGAGTCGCCGAGCTGGGGAGCAGAACCCAGGCGTCCTGCGCTAGCCGCGCCCCCCGGTGAGCCTCCAGCCTGGCTGCCGGGGGGGACCTGCCCCGCCACCGCCCACCTGGGCCCGGTCCGGCAGCCCCAGCCGGCGCGGCGGAGGCCGGGTACCGGGGCGGGACGCTGCGCTGCGCACGCCGCTGACCCGGGAAGTTCAGCCCCCGCCGGGGTGAGCGGGGAGGACGGAGCCGCGGGGCGGGCGCAGGGAGCCGGGAGCGGGGCCGGGGCAGAGCCGAGCGGCGCTGGGAGCCCCGGAGCTCCCGCCCCAGCGCCCCCCAGCCCCGCACCCAGAGCCTGGATGGGCCCCGCGGACCCCGAACTCCCCTCCCGCCCCACAGCCGGTCCCCCCCAGAAACCCCGAGCCCCACAGCCGGACCACCAACCCCCCTCCCGGACTTCCCTCCCGCCCCACACCCGGACCCCCCACGGGGACCCCGAGCCCCCCCTCCCGCCCCACACCTGGAGCCCCCACAGGGACCCCAAGTCCCCCTCCCGCCCCTTAGCCGGATCCCCAACACCCCTCGCACCCCACAGAGACTCAAACCCCCCTCCTGCCCCACACCCTGACCCCACAGAGATCCCCGAACACCCTTCCCACCCCAGACACCCCCCCACACAC